CCCATGCATTGGAAGTGGAAGCTGTGCGTGGTAACTCCCGTACCTTATGTCTGCGGGAAATGACGACTACGGAGCAGGTACCTCCACGCCGTCGGAACTTCATGTGCTATGGATGCGGAGAGCGTGGGCACATGCGGAGCAACTGCCCGAAGAAGGTGAACCGCCAGGACGCGGCGGTCTCAACTTCTAACCAGCAGGGAAACTAATTCCAGCCAGGGCTGCGGGGTGGGCGCTGGCCGGTAGTAGAATAACCCCAACAATCTACATCAAGCAAACTAACGATGGAAATACTCTGGTGATAGACGGTCAAGTAAATGGGAAAAACAGTCAGCTAACATTAGATACTGGAGCTTCAAGGACGGTGATAAATGTTCGGCTGCTCGGGCAAAACATCAGGAAACACGTTAAACCAATTGTTGGCCTACGAATGAAATCAGCTACCGGCCAGTGGATACCGATAAGTGGAAAACTGCACGTAACAATCAAAATTGGGGAACGTGTTTATCGACATGAGGTTATTGTGGCCAAAATTCTGGATGACTGCATCCTGGGACTTGACTTCCTGCAAGGGCACCAGTGTAACATCGACTTAAAATCTGGAGTATTACTATGTGGAACTGAGGAAATTCCGATGAAGGGTGGAACCCTGGGAAAAGTTTGCTGTTTAAGAAGAACTGTTCTTGAACTAAAATCACAGACTCTCGTACCAATCGCATTACCTAGGAGGAGTGAAGGAAGTTTACCTCGAAGGTGCGCTGTGATTGATAAATCGGAACACGTAAACTCATGGCTACCGGCAAGGACTGTCGTGGGGTCATCTGATGTCAACCGCATTCCGGTATTCAACTTCAGTGATTCAAAAATTACGATTGAAGAAGGAGAGCCTGTGGGCGTTTTGGAAGAAGTGGCCTGGATAAGAAAATGCTCGGAGAATCTTGTGAAGAAGGACAGTACGGGAATAGACTTTGTAACGAAAATCTTAGACGAAAACAAAAGTCTGACAAAAGTGGAGACTATGAAAGCTAGAAATTTACTCCTTCGATTCTCTGATGTGTTTTCAAGAAGCGATGGTGATATTGGCCGAACTGGTTTGGTGAAGCATAAAATAAATACAGGTGATACAATGCCAATTCGTCAAAGGCCCAGACGTATACCATTCGCTCGTGAGAAAGAGGTTGAAGAAATGATTGACGATATGAGGAAAAATGACGTGATAGAGCCCTCTTCTAGCCCTTGGTGTTCACCTGTCGTGCTTGTCAAGAAGAAAGATGGTTCAACGAGGTTTTGCGTAGACTATCGACGATTGAATGATGTAACCAAGAAGGATAGCTACCCGTTACCAAGAATCGATGACACACTTGACACACTGAGTGGCATGAAATGGTTTTCAACGCTCGATCTGAAAAGCGGCTATTGGCAGGTGGATTTGGATCCCAAGGACAAGGAAAAGACCGCATTCTCAACTGGGAAGGGACTCTGGCAATTTAAGGTGATGCCATTTGGATTATGCAATGCACCGGCAACCTTTGAGCGTTTGATGGAACAGGTGCTGGCGGGACTGCTGGGCGAAACCTGCCTAGTTTACCTCGATGACATCATCATCGTTGGACGGGATTTTGACGATCATCTAAGAAAATTGGAAAGGGTACTCGACAAGCTGCGTGGAGCAAATTTAAAGTTGAGTCCAAAGAAATGCTCTTTCTTTAAGCGCGAAGTGAATTATCTAGGACATGTTATTTCTGAGAGAGGAATTGAGACTGATCCAGCCAAGACTGCCGCTGTTAAGGAATGGCCAACACCTAAAGACAAAACGCAAGTTCGGGCATTTCTTGGATTATGCTCGTATTATCGGCGGTTTGTGAAGGGATTCTCGGACATTGCCAAGCCATTGCATCGATTGACAGAGGAGAAACGTGCCTTTATATGGGACGAGGATTGTGAGCAAGCCTTTCGCGAACTAAAAGAACGGCTTTGTAAAACGCCAATTCTCGGATACCCCAGCGCGAAAGGAATATTCGTAGTTGATACGGACGCCAGTAATATCGGAATAGGAGGTGTCCTTTCACAACGCGATGGTGAGCAGGAGAAGGTTATTGCTTACTTCAGCAAGTCACTATCCAAGCCGGAGAGGAATTATTGCGTGACCAGGAGGGAATTACTGGCCGTAGTCAAAACTCTGCACCATTTCAAGAAGTATTTACTGGGACGGAAATTTTTAATCAGAACTGATCACGCTGCTTTGAAATGGCTGCTTCAGTTTAAGGATCCTGAAGGCCAAGTAGCCAGATGGTTGGAACAACTTCAGGAATTTGACTTTGAAATCGAACATCGCGGCGGAAGAATTCATGGCAACGCAGATGCATTATCGAGACGCCCATGCGTGGAAGATTGCAAGCATTGTGCCAAGAAGGAAATTGCTTTTCTTAAGGTGATAAGGACTGATACTGTTGACGAGGCATGGGGAGATGATGCGATGAAATTAGAACAGGAAAGAGATGCGGATATCAAACCAATACTGGAGTGGCTACGAAGTGGTAACAAGCCAAGTTGGAGTGACGTCGCCCAATATAGCGCGGTAACGAAAGGTTTATGGGCACAGTGGAAAAGCCTTACGCTGCATAACGGACTTCTGTGCAGGAAATGGGAATCAACAAACGGCAAGGACGAGCATTTGCAATTGGTGGTGCCTCGTTCAAAAATAAGGGATGTATTAAAAGCGTTCCATGATGGATCTTCTGGAGGACATTTGGGAATTAGGAGGACTTTGGTGAAGATCAAGGAGAGGTTTTATTGGTTGCATTGCAAATATGACGTCGAAGATTGGTGCCAGAAATGCACTAGTTGTGCAGCTGTCAAGGGTCCACAAACAAGAAGCAGAGGGGCGATGAAAATCTACAATGTTGGTATGCCTTGGGAGAGAATAGCCTTAGACATCGCTGGACCATTTCCAATCACTGATTCGGGCAATCGCTACGTTTTAGTGGTTATGGATTATTTTACAAAATGGCCGGAGGTCTTTGCCATACCGAATCAAGAGGCAGTAACTGTAGCCACGAAGTTGGTAAACGAGGTATTCACCCGATTCGGAGTGCCCTTGGAGATGCACAGTGATCAAGGACGGAACTTTGGGACACTTACATACCTCTCTTCTTGCTTGCCTATCGGACTGCTGTACATGAAAGTACCGCAAAGACGCCTGCATTTGCAAATTTTGGAAGGGAATTGAGATTACCGGCAGATCTTGTATCGGGCTGTCCACCTGGCGACTCTCGCACCGAATTTAGCGATTACATAAGCGAGTTAAGGGCAAAAATGTTGGACATTTATGAGCAGATCAGGGAGGCCGGTCTTCAAGCTAGTGATCGCGCAAAGACGCGCTATGATCGACGAGCCAATTCTGTTGGGTTTGAAGAAGGGTCATTGGTCTGGCTTCATAATCCAGTCAGAAGGAAGGGAAAATCTCCGAAGCTGCAACCGAGTTGGGAAGGTCCTTATGAGATAGTCACGAAGATCAATGACATTACTTACAGAATTCGGAAGACTTCAAGGAGCCCTTTGAAAGTTGTCCATATAGACAGGTTGGCGAGGTATTACGGCAGCAACGATGCTCGGGACGAGCGAATCTAAGAGGGGGGCAGTGTGACGGAAAACTCTTTGACATCATGACGTCAAGGGATGGTTGTCAAACGTTGCCTAGAGATTGTAAATTTCGTCGTGAATTGTCAACACGAGTTGGTGTAATCGGTAAGGCGTGTGGATTACACCACAGAGACCCCGAGTTCGAGTCCCGCCGTAAACATGAAGTTTTTTAGTTGATGGAAGTTTTGTCGAACTTTCTGGAATTATTTGAGTGAAAGAAATGAAAAATTAAGGAGCGAGAAGGAGAATAAATAAAAATGAATAACGAAATTATTGGAAGGTTCTGGAGGCATGACGATCAAAAAGAATAACGAAATTGAATGTTCTAGAACCTGACCGGGGGTATATAAGCGGAACTGCGGCTCACCGCTGGCAGTTGAGTTCTAAGTCTAAAGCGATTCGGAAGAAAAGGAAGAAGTGGAAAAGAAGAAAAGTGAGTGAAATAGTGAAGTGCAGTGAAATAGTGAAGTGCAGTCAGTTAAGTGAGTTAAGTCAGCGTGAACGGCAAAGTTGTGTCAGTCGGCCGGACTCTGCTGGAGAAGAACGCCGATAACTTAACTCCGTGGACGCTGTAACTTAAGTGCAATAGAAAGTCTGAAAACCGGTATTAGTGTTTCATTTCATCCAATCCCGTAACCCAAGCCCGCATAGTCAGGAACGTGACGTCAGGCACGTAACAATATATTTTGTTTATTTATAGAACTAAGCGATATAAACTACGAACTACTCCCCTACACGTTTTACTACGAAAACAGTAAAATACAGGGTGTAAAAAGACACTTAACGAAGCCGTTAACTACGCATACTGCAGTTCTAACTAAGTAGCTTTACGCCAAAATTACAACAACAAACAAACTTCGCAACAACTAAACAATTCTGTAAAATAAAAATTCTACTGAGATGCACGATGTTTTTTGTGCGGGTCTGCATTTATTTATTACGTACATTACTGTTCGTAACTTCAAATGCGTATTTTATTTAGATAAAATCGAAAATCCAGGTAATGTTTGTTTGGAAAAAAGTTTTGTAATAATACTTAGAAATGGACTGCGCAAAAAAAAATTAAAAATGCATGACCTTCAATATCTCGAGAACGCGTGGAGTCCCAGCTAAGGTCTTAAAGAAAAAAATGATCCAAATAATGGGTAGACGTATCCTACTACTACGGCTCTCGGCTTCGTTAAGTGTCTTTTTACACCCTGTATATTTTGTTTATACATCGTTTATAAAACTACGCGATATAAACTACGCATTACGAACTAATCCCCTACACGTTTTACTTCGGAAACGAAAAATCCCGTTTAACAGTAAAATATTAATATGCACTGCGAATGTTTTAACTATAATATAACCTAATATACCTGCTTCAATACAGTTGGCGAGTTCCTCTATGGAGTCTGGCGCGGCGGGGGTACAATCTCCACACACGTACAGTTTGTTCGCGCTACCGGCGCACGCGCAGTGAACGCCGCTACTGCCGCATAGCAGGCACACCTTTATACACCACGACCTGGTTGGAAAACAATCCTTTCATTTAGTACTAGCTTCCACCGTATAAAAATAATGCATCCTTATGATTATAAAAACAGCTGCAGCGTGTAAGCGATAGCTCGATTACAATATGAATCAATGAATTTGAAACGTTAGAAACGTTAAAATATAGAAGTAGTCTGTCAGTCTGTTCGTCAGTGAAGCTAGGTGCTCATTCCAAATTGTAGATTCGAATGGAGAAGAACGAGCAAGAAACACCATCGTTGCCATTAAAAAAAAATTGATTTACAATTCCAATAAAATTTAGTATACATTATTGTACCCTTATGAGAGAACAATGCAGAGACAAGTTGTAAAGAAAAAGAACAAATTATGGGATCTATCATAAAATTTTAATCCTTTGTCGTCGTGATGGGCAGGGATGTGTTTAATCAACGTTTTGAATTCAAAACATACCCATTATCAGCATCGTGGTTCCTTCCCATGGGGCATTGGCAGTCAGCTGCAGAGCAGGGCACCTCACGTTCGTAGATTTCGGAGAACGCATTCTGTTCTAACTCCCAAGCCGCGTCTCTGTAAGGTAAGGACATATTATGGTACTAGTAAATATGGTAAAATGTCGTGTTGGCCCGGAGGTTAAGAAGCCCGTATCTCATGCATAAGGTTGTATGTTCGATAAGTACCAATGTGACTTTTTCCGAGTTATAATATAAAAAGAATGTACTTTCTATGATTATTTAGACACCACTGACATACGGTGAAGGTAAACATCGTGAGGAAACCTGGACTTATAATTTCTAATTATAAGTTTGAAATCGCCAACCCACATCGAGCCAGTGTGGTGATTAATGCTCTAAACTTCTCTGTATGAGAAGAGGCCTTTGCTCAGCAGTGGGCAGTTATAGGCTGATGATGAAGATGATGATATAACTAGTGTGTAATCTGTACTAATATTATAAAGAGGTAAATTTTTTAAGTTTGTATGTAGGGGGGTAATCTTTGGAACCGCTGGTCGGATTGCCAAAATTCTTTTACTGATTGATAGCTACAACATTCCTGAGTGATTGAGTGATATAGGCTACAAAATATCAACATTAAATGGAGCCGAGCAGCGGGTGAAACCGCGAGAGAGTAGCTAGTGTTTGTAAATAAACAAACAGTTGTTCCACGCCTGTATTCTGTGAGGAACCGTGGTATCACACCGGTCGAACCTTCCCATCTTACCTTCATCAACATCAGCCCATAAGTGCCCACTGCTGAGCCAAGGCCTCTTCTCTTCACGGAGAAGATTTGAAGATTAATCACCACACTTGCTCAATGCGGGCGATGGATGCGTGGCGATTTCAAACTTATAATTAGAAATTATATGTCTAGGTTTCCTCACGATGTTTACCTTCACCGTATGTGGTGGTCAGTGGTGTCTAAATAATCATAGAAAGTACATATAGCTCGGAAAAAGTCACATTGGTACTTGCCAGGTTTCGAACCCAAATGCATGAGAAGCATTACATAGGATATACTCCGGAATAGGACATTGGGTACTTTTTATCAACATACCACGCGGGCGAAGCCGCGGGCGGAAGCTAGTATACACTAAAAAATAAATAAATTTGGCTAACCTGTCAGGCACATAATATCCTTGGGTCACAACTGCTTGGTAGAAGTTATCCTTATCATTACAAAGAGGACATTTTAAGTAGTGCATCCCTGCACTCAGTGCCATACGCTGTGAACAAAATGTATTTATTTATTATAAGGTAGGCTCACAGCTTATGTACACAAAGTAGTTTAAAGTATTGGTTAGGCTAAGAACTCACGGAGCGATTTTGAACCGTGCCCGCCGCGGTAGCGGAACTGCGGTTTTATTTCCAAACTCACGAGACCGGTTATTTGCGCGGTTACACAGCCGCCGCGGTTGCGATCATCGCCCGCAAATGTGGCGGGCGATAATCGCAAGATTGCAAGACGGGCGGTTAACGATCAGTTGAGGTCCAGACCGCCATGGACACACACCAGAAACGAGCCGCTGCGTTATATTTACTTCACAGAAGACCCGCCGGCCCCCGCGGTCGCTCGCCAACCGATCGCAAAGCGCGCGGGTGCCACCCGCCGAGGCTGCGGGTAACCGCGGCCCGCGCGGTTCTACTAGTTGCCCGCCGGTACAGCGGGAGCCGCATACAACCGCATACACCGCGGGCGTAAAACGCGTCGTGAAATGTGCTTTCATTTTTTATATAAATATTTGAATTCTACAGAAGCTGCGGGTCCGCAACCGCAGCGGACGCGGGTGAAAATCGCTCCGTGAGTTCTTAGCCTTATAGGTCATATACATTAGCCAGTTACGAGCTAACCACATATATTACATTAACACTATTCTAAAAATTATACAGTCAAAATATATAGAATAATCACTGTATAGTATAAAACAAAGTCGCTTTCTCTGTCCCTATATCTGTTGGCGAAGTGGCTGGTCAACTGGCTGCTATGCAACGTGTCGGAAGTTCGATTCCCGTAAGGAACAACACTTTGTGTGATCCACAAATTCGTTGATCCGGGTCTGGGTGTGATGTGTATGTAATATTGTATGTTTATCAACGCACCTACGACACTGGAGAAAAAAACACAAGTATATTCTTCGTAACCCTCAATGTTTAAAAAAATATACATATATGTTACGGTAAGAGTTGAATAATTGAAGATTATTAATAAGTACTATTATCTTTAGTAGTGAATAAGTGGCCAAGGATTGTGGGGCGAGGCGTTCGAGTTTGATGGTGGACTTGATTTTACAAGAATTTTATTGTTAACAATGAAACAATGAATTTATTTTTGCAAATAGGCCATAAAACGGCACTTTTACACGTCAAATTATATGTGAAAAATAGATGAAGCCGGCATTTCCTATCTGACTACTCTGAGAAGAAATGCCGAAACAAACTCAGAGGTCAGTCTCTTTTCAAGTCCAGACAATATAAAATAACATAATGTGAGAGAACCGTGCAAGTCCATTCTGTAGTGGTCTTTTGAGGAAAGAACCACACCAGTTTAAGTGGACCCGTTCTGAAGACAGGCACGCAAGTGTCAGTTTGCAACCAGCATAGCAAGTGCTGCTGAGTTGTCCGACGAACAATACCGATCTAAAGAACATTTGGTTGGGTCACGCGAGTACTCAAACTGTCAGAACGCAGATAACTGGTAGTCCAAAAGCACGACAAGTCTCACACGGTCCTTACACTAACAATAATAGAAAATAATAAAAACGTCAACAAATAAATAAAAAAAAAAATCTCAAATAAAAAATAAAAATGTCACAATAGGTGATCATGTCATTGTATAAAAAAAAAACGTAATGTCAAATTGTATATAAAAGTGTAACTTATGTTACAAACATGTCAACATGACCTGTGCAGACATTACAGCGGCTCATTCCCATGCCTGACTATCCTCTAAGTAGTCTTTTATTTTATAAAATGCTTTACAGCAAAGTTTAGCCTTTATTACACTTTTAAATTTATTGAGGCTCAAATTTTGAATATCGCTAGGAATTTTATTGTAAAAGCGTATACATTGACACCTAAACGAACTACTTATTTTCTGAAGCCTGGAGGCAGGCACAACATATTTGTTTTTCCCCCCTCGTGTTGATATTATGTATATCACTATATTTCTTAAATAAGCTTTTATTTTTATGAGCGTGAATTACATTTTCATAAATATATTGAGAGGCAACTGTCATTATTTTAGATTCCTTAAATAATTCTTTGAGCGAATGCCTCGGACTAAGATTATAGATTGATCGAATAGCCCTTTTCTGCAGAACAAAAATAGACTGAATGTCAGCAGCATTCCCCCACAACAAAATACCGTATGACATGATGCTGTGGAAATAACTAAAATAAACTAACCGCGCTGTATCTACATCTGTTAAATTTCTAATTTTTTTAACGGCATATGCTGCAGAACTGAGCTTCTTCGACAAGCCATCTATATGTGGGCCCCACTGGAGCTTAGCGTCCAGGGTTATACCTAAAAAGACAGTTGTATCTACAGGACTCAACTCCTCGCCCTTGACAAGCACACTGGTTTTTATCTGTTTAACATTTGGTGTTGTGAATTTAATACATTTAGTTAATTTTATGGCTTTTACTTGCAACCCTATCTTTTTATGTAATAAGTCGGCAAACGAGCAAACGGATTATCTGATGGTAAGCAATCAGCGCCGCTTATAGACACCCGCAACAACAGAGGAGTTACGAGTGCGTTGCCGTCCTTTTGGGAATTAGGGATTTGGGAGATTAAGGGATTGGGGAAGGATTTGAGGAGGGGAAGGATTGAGCCTCCGGTAATCTCACTCTTGTAGGCGAAACACAACGCTGTAGTTGTTTCACGCCGGTTTTCTGTGAGGCCGTGGTATTATTTCCGGCCGAGCCGACCTATTCGTGCCGGAGTATGGCTCTCCCACACTCGCTAGCTAATAAAACTATATGTATTATATGTACTAGAGCTGTTATGGATATGAAATTTCGGATACGGATTGGATATGGATATGGTAATTATTGTTATACTGGATACGATTACGGATAAGGATATAAATTTATTTCGGATTTTCTGTTAGTTTCGGATAATTTCGGTTATGGTTATTAAAATATTAAGGAATTTCAAAAGAAAAATACAAGCATAACGTGTCTCAATTATGCTCCTCCCCTATCCGATACTATCCGAAACTTTTATATCGGATTCGGTTACGGTTACGGATTTTTCTGTATATCGGATATCCGATAGTTTCGCTTACAGTTATGGAGCTCCCTAACATCCCTGATATGTACCTGTAAACAAGTCCTATGGAACCATGCATCCCTGGCACAGCATGGAGGCCAGAAAGTATTGACAGTTGGATACCCATCCACTACTTCATAGCATATTACACACACCGACTGAGTGTCCGAATCGGTAACTGAAAAATAAGCAATTATTATTAGAATTAAAAAAAAGAAACTCAACCCATAAAAATATTAGACTCAATTATTCTGTTATATCTAATTAAGAGCTGATTTTTCAATAGTCAGATAAATGTTATCTGAGGAATGAAATTGTTGCTGTCACTGTCTTATACAAACATTCTGATGCGACGGCACAATAATTATTCCCCAGATAACTTTTAAGACCAAAGGAGTTACGAATGCGTTGCCGGCCTTTTGAGGATAAGGGCTTCAGATATTTAAGGATTGAGAAGAGATGGGGGAGCGGAAGAGATTGTACCTACGGTAACCTCACCAGCACGGCAAAACGCAACTCGGTGGTTGTTTCACGCCGGTTTTCTGTGATGCCGTGGTATCACTCCGGTCGAGCCGACCCATACGTGCCGAAGCTTGGTTCTCCCATCCTCAATCTCCATATCCTTAAGTTACTAGAAACCCAATTCTCACTCCTCAAAAGATCGGCAACGCACTTGCAAGTCGTCTTATGTTTCGGAGGGTCTGATATAAAATTAGCCGATGACAGTACAGTCCTAGTAGGCCGTGAAAAAAACAGGAAAATGTTGGTACATTTTGTACCTGTCATTTAAATATGCTAGTATCGTTAGGCCTTCAAATAATCACTGGGAGATCTGATGGTAGCCTTTATTACTTACCTTCATTTCCATCACAAATGGACAACTCCTTCAAATCCTTGAAATTTGATATTTTCTTTTTATTCCTGTTGTCTTTTCGCATTCTCTGTTTAGCATTCTCCATTATTGCGGGCGGTATATTCTGTTTGGGGGCGTGGACTTGGCAGAAAGATCTGTAAAATGAATTACACCATAATTAATTATCATAAATGTTTGTTTCGTAAGACTGTTCGAAAAAAATTAAGAGATCCGGTAGGGCTCGAAATTAGTCGAGCATATAGATTTTTAGATAATTTCTGCATAAATGTTGTTAATAAAAAAGTGACATTTGAAATATAAAAGACCCCCCATCTCCAAACCCAATCTCTAAACGCCGGTAATGCACTCGTTGGTGGTCATGGTCATCGACAAGTATTCTTGTTACCCGGCTAACCACCTTAAAAAAAAGGCTACCGATCTTCAAAGAACTGATTGTATGTATACAGAAGAAAATAAACTCACTTGTAATTCCCGTAGAACATAGACACTGCATTCCGTTCCCTCCCGCACGGCAGGTGGAACTGCTTCTTGCATTGTGCCACTGAACAGCCAAGGTTAGCGCCAGGGCGGCTGCAGAACGAACATTTCTGAAAGAGAAATAAGAATCTACCTTTAAATCGCGGTAATTCGAGACACAGCTTTAATTTTTAAGTGTGGGAGGGTCATGCTTCGGCACGAATGGGTGCCGAAGGGATGGAGGAGATGGGAAGGGATGGAGTTTCTTGCTCGTTCTTATCCATTCGAAACTACAATTTGGAACGAGCACCTAGCTTCACTGACGAACAGACTGACAGACTACTATTCTATTTTGACGTTTCAAAAGTACCTATTTATGGTTTAGTTGGAATAAATGATTTTGATTTGATTTGACATGCATCGGCGAATATTTCGCCGTGTGATTGAGGTTACCAGAGGCCCAATCCTTCCCCTCCTCTAATCCCTCCCCAATTCCTAAATCTCCAAAACCCTTATCCCCAAAAAGGCCGGCAACGCACTTGTAACTCTCTAGTGTTGTAGGTGTCCATATTCGGTGCCGATGGCTTACCATCAGGTAATCCATCTGCTCGTTGGTTGCCTCATCTCACAAAAAAACATAACCATAAGCATTCAACTATTGGTGCTGCCTCTGGATATCCTCATCATTGAAGAGTTACAAGTGCTTTCCAAGCCTATGGGGATAAGGGATTTCAAGATTGGAGGTGGCAGAGAAGAAGGATTGGGCCTCACAGAGCAAAACAAAACGCAATCATGGTTTCACACAGGTGAAGTTGTGAGGCTAGGATATTACTCTTGTTGAGCCTACCAGTGTTTGTTTAGTGGGTCAGCTCTGAAAAGTGTTGTTTCGTGCCTGCGTGCGCGAGACACAGCATTTATGCTGAGCGCTGCCCCTTTTCACGCATGAGTGACGCAATTGAAGCGCTTTTCTTTTTATGTTCATTATTTGTTTTGTGATAAACAATGTACTTACATGTTTCTTAGCTCTCTCTATTTCCTTAAGGATATCTTCATATAGAAAACCAAAGAGTCCGTCTACATCTTTGCCTCTTTGTATCAAACATGATGACAGAAGCTGAAATCAATTACCAATTATTCACTGTAAACTTGACACAGATAATAAAGTCAACTCTAGTAATTGGATTACTGCTACACATTTTTAAAACTTCGCTGTATGATGTTTTATAGCTTATAGCCTTCCTCGATTAATGAACTAACAAACAAAAAGAGAATGGTTGAATTCGAACCAGTAGATCCGGAGATGAGAGCATTCAAACCAACAAACTGACAGTACTACTACAGTTTTATAATATTAGTATAGATAAATAAAAAGGATCATAATTAGGATGTTTTATACACATATTGATGTTTGATATTTCTTTTGTGTCATCAATTTTTTCAGTCTATCTCTATAAAGATTATTCTTCTTATATTTCTTTCTTCTTTCTAATATTATAAATGTGCAAGCTTACATATGGATGTTTGTTACTACCTATTTCAGGTTAAAACTAAGTACAGAATTGCATTGGCACAGAGACTTATTTGTTTGGATAGACTACTTTTTATCCAGGTAAACTAGACATATTCTATAGGAGATATAAAATTTTACAGAGTCTATTTTGTGTGAGATGTTGTTTCCTTAGATGTTTTCTCAAAAGATCCTGGCTGCTAAAAATCTTAATTCAATAATCTCTGGGAGTTCTTGACAGAACATCAAAAGAACAAATTCAAAATTTGATCAGTGGGTAGCCTTAGGGGCAGGTTTTTATCCTACTTGAAACATTTTCAATTGAGTCCTGTTATCAATTTTGGATATCTATGGACTCTGTTAGTTACCATTACTGTAGAATGTCACTGGTCCCTATTTGAGCTTGGCTAAAGGGCAGGAAGCCTATGTATATGATTGCCAATCCTTAAGAGTACCACACTGACCAAACTTATTAAGATTGCGACACCTTAAAAAGAATAAGAAAGGGAAAACCTTTTAAAATGTGTAGTCAAAGCATAAAAAATATTGTCAATTTCTTGTCTAATGATTATTATAATTGAATCTCACCTATTATAGGTAAGTTAATTCTTACATTTTAAATGGGTTTGTCATATTGATTCAAAGCACACATAGGAAGTGTTGTTGAGGATTAGAAATGTCTATTATTCAAAGGAAATTGTTTACATGGCTGCCAGATACTGAAAGCTGACGTGAATGTGTTTAAAATTTTTATTATGAGTGTCAGCAAATTCCAACTACTGAATCATAAACGCGAAACTAAGTTTTACACTATATCTACTCATCTAAACTTGATGAAGTTTTCTTAGCACATAGTCGGCAGTATGGAGAAGGAAATAGGCTACTTTTTCACCGAAGAAATATGCCATTACAAGTCCAAATGGATACGAAACTTACCACACAAAAGTAATGACAATGTATTTCTCCTATTGCGTATAATTTTCCGTAAGTAAGCTCATCGTCTACTTCACACTGGCAAAAGGCACACGGTAGTCTATTTCCAGTAACAATCTTAGCCACAATCCTTTTTTTAATAGATTTCCTCGGAGCCATCGTAACTATAGTGTACTTTCACTTTAACACATAATTACTCTTAGTCTAACCATCGCTTTTACACGAAAGCTTTGATTCAAATAGGCACTTTAACAAGCACCTCTGAATACTCATCAAAAGATAGTTAGGTAAACATTTAACCAATAATTTTTGCTTCCGAAGTCCGATAAAAATTGATAACAAACTAAAGTATGGCCGGTGACTTCAGTCTTGGCGTTACAATTTTAGTGTTACCAACTCTCTTGTGCATTTGTCCCCAGACTTCACCCAAAATCTATTTTATTACAAATAAAACATGAATCTTGTAATATATAATTATTTCCATTTCACTAACACTCTATCAATAAATAATGTATCATGATTTGCGATGTGATAAATTTGCAGAAACTATTAAAATTCCGAAAACCTGATAGTGAGAAAAGGTGTATAGCTATATTAGTTTCAAATCATTACGAGACTCTTATATATGAGCAGCGTGCGTATCGCGGCGATATTTGGTGAGTTTTCCATTTAGACTTGAAAATAGTAGTTTGTCTTAGTTAATTCGAGTGAGCAAGACGTTATTTTAAATAAATTTAGCATTTCTCACGATATAACTGTTAAAAATAAAATAGTATTCTAATAAAAATCAATATTAAACAATTTAACTTAAACTTTGAAGTAACACATCTTATACTTTAAAAACTGCACGTCCAAGATTTTCTGCTTAAATCTAAGTAGAAGACCCATTCGCTGGTATCATTGTTTATTTTGGGAATTTGACATATTAGTTGGCGGGAGTTCTGAGTTCCTATTTTTTATAAACTTCGTCTAGAATCATTAAGAGATAGTTCTTTAGAATTATTTATTTACTCACTTTAGAACATACGATAAAAGTTCAAAATGTATGTATTTCCAAAATTGTGTACTCTAAAGTATTTACCTTCAGAAACTTATTTAGAAAATAATTATTGGTCTGTGACAGAAAAGAATCTATTCCATTCCCAATTTCTAAACGAAGGACATAGAGGAACAAACATTTTTCGGATGTTGCCCTTCTCAAAACTCTACTTTCCACATCCTCTGATATTGTTCCTATAAAAATAAGCTTGTCTATGGTAAAAATTATATTAAAATTATGTGCAATTAATCAAACAAGCAGCAACACTATATTAAAAACGTCAAGAAATCTAAAAAAAAAAAGCCGGAAGGCAACTTAGTTTTTATTTTTATTGTTATTTGTTTAATTATTGTTAAGATACTACGTTAATAGTAACAACCATAATTTTATCTAGTCTTAGAACTTATTTCGTGTCCAGAGTAATTTAATTGCAAATATCTGTGCTTGTGACGGGTTTATGGAGCCATAAAATTGTTGATATAAAGTCCTTTGTTTGGGAAACAGCTATTTCTTCGTGTTTCCTCGTGAATAGGGTGTGGAAAACGCATTTGGGAAGCGTATAAGCCGTGGTTTCATTGTTCTTTGTTCGTATCGAGTGTGAAAAGTGGTTAGACAAGCTTATTCGATCATTGTTTCATACGCGACTGTGGTTAACCATTAAAACATAAAACTTTAACATTCTGCCGTCACAAATATGGCTGTGTTGCTCAATGCTCGTTGTGAAAACCGTGTAAAGGGAATACGGAGCAGGAAAACTCCATTCATAATCCAATAAGAGTCTTATAAGTTGTTTAAAAATCCCAACATGTCGGCCTTGGAAGACAGCAAAGATATCTGGCCAGTATCTGGTAATCGATTGGATTCCAAATATGAAAAATGTCGTAATATAACTGAGGAGATATATAAGAGGATAAATATTACATTTCAAATAAAGAAATTGGAGTCTGAAGTACACAGTGAGTTGTCGGATAACAGGTAAAGTGAAATTGTTTTTACTGACCATTTTTCCTTATGAACTCACACTTGTAATACATTAATTAACATGTCAGACTATTCCTTAACAATTTTCCTTAGAAATATATTAAAAAAACATGTATGAAAGACTTTAAACTTTCATTCATCCGTTGAATTGTTTATAAAGTGTGTTTCAACTCTAATAAAACCAAAATTTGAGTTCAAAACAACATTTTACAAGTTTATATGTCTATACAACACACCTTTTACATACATTGTCAAAGAAAAACTTGATTTCAAATTTATTCAATGTTAAATTTATTGTTAAAATGTTCCCAAGGCCATGTATCGCAACATTGGAGCCTTGTGTCAAGTTATTATGCAAAAATTGGAAGATTATTTTCAACAAAATGTATATTATTATGCTCTTTATAGTAATGAGTATATATTTGGTAGTATAATATTGTATTTGAAATGCATATTTTAGTGTTAGGAAGTAGGAAGGCCTGATTTTATCCTGTATGTTTAAATAAATACTAGTTAGCTATTGTGTTTGGTGTTTTATAACCAGCTAGCTTTTGCCCGCTACTTTGTTCGCGTTGAAAAGTGACTTCCTGCAGATTTTTGGTATAAGAACTATCCTATGTCCTTTCTTGAGTTCCAGACTGTGCCTGTACCAAATTTCCCACAAATAGGTTCAGTAGTTTAGGTGTGAAGAAAAGACAGACAGAGAGTTACTTTCGAATTTACAATGTTAGTTTGAATAGCACTCAGAAACATTGTAGCTATCTATCAGTCAAAGAATTTTGGAAATCCGAACCGGTTCCAAAGATTACCATCTACATACAAACTTACTAATTTTACCTCTTCATAATACTAATGGCCTAGCCACGCTGCTCATGGGTCAACTATCTATCTATGCTTATAATAAACCTGTAGAGAGGTCAATTCTGTACATTAAATATATTTTCTAAATAACTATCAGGGGGTGATAAGTAATCGATGCTGATGTGAAAAATGTAATCTGTCAAATTTTTGTCTGTCTGTCTGTCTGTATGTTCCTTATAGAAACAAAAACTACTCGACAGATTTTGACGAAACTTGGTATAATTATTCTTCATATTCATGGGCAGGTTATAGGATACTTTTCATCACGCTAGATTTAATAGGAGCAGAGCAGTGACGGGAAATGTTGGGAAAACGGGAGAAGTTACTCCACTTTTCTAGCTTCCGTCGCATGTGCAGCCTTAATGGTTAAAGTTACATAGAAATGCATTTATCATAAGATTGTTTAACATAAAATTGTCTACAAAACATCCTGCAACAGTATTTGTCTATCTATACTTTATGGTTGACTCAAAATAACACATGTAACTCCTGATCGCTCAGTAGTTAGAGCAGTCTGTCAAGTGTGGGAGAGCCAAGCTTCGGCACGAATGGGTCAGCTTGACCGGAGTGATACCACGGCCTCACATAAAACCGGCGTGAAACAACCACAGTGTTGTGTTTCGCCGTGTGAGTGAGGTTACCGAAGGCCCAATCCTTCCCTTCCCCCAATCCCTCCTCAATCCCTGAGTCTCCAAATTCCTTATTCCTAAAAGATCGGCAACGCACTCGTAACTCCTCCGTTGCGGGTGTCCATGGGCGGCGCTGATTGCTTACCATCAGGTAATCCGTCTGCTCGTTTGCCGAACTATTACATAGAAAAAAAATAAGTCTGATCATATTTGTTTACTCTTACAACACTCTCACTTATCTCTTAATAAAAAAGTTTACATTATTATCTATTCAATATAAAAAGAATCATAGAAAACAGTTGGCATGTGTGCACGTTTTCGTTTTTGTTGTTATATGAGACACGAGAGAAAACCCATTGTGTCTCACGTAGATCTGCGTTCTGGCACATCACGGGTTAAACCAACAATCTGCAGGAAGTAGGGTTGCCACCCGTACTTTATAATAAAGTATTGTACTCTATTTCATTTAATTGTACTCTATACTTTATGAGAACAATAAAGTACACGAAAATACTTTATTTTGTATGATTTGATTTTTTTGGGATTTTGAAAAGTCTGATGAACAGCGAAAGAGATGAAGAGATGAAAGAAACAAAGCATCTCTGAATTTAATAAAGACTGTAAAGATGTTTTAGTAGGGATACTTATTTAATGCAAACTGCAAAAAGCAATAAAAAACATGTTTTAAAAATATAAAAATAAGAAAAATGAATTGTACTTTATCTTGATCCCATGTACTTTTTTTTCTTACCTATAATAACCAATGTACTTTATTAACTGCAAAAAAAGGTGGCAACCCTAGCAGGAAGTTACTATTACCCTCAAACAAAGTTGAGGGCAAAAGCTTGTACCTACATACATCTATACTATTATTATAAAGAGGATTATAGTAAATAATATATTTATCAAGGATAAAAACTGCCATTAGTTTCTCTTATAAATATTTAATTGAGACTATGTTTAATATCAACACAATTCAATTGATTTTCCTTGTAAATTGGTTAGAAATTAAGCATGTTTTTATGTGTGGCTTTTTTTGTTATTAAGATTTTATCAATAACTAGCTACTCTCGCGCGGTTTCACCCGCTGCTCAGCTCCATTTGATCGTAGCATGATGTAGCACTCAGGAACATTGTAGCTATCTATCAGTGAAAGAATTTTGGCAATCTGACCAGCAGTTCCAAAGATTACCCCCTACATACAAACTTACAAATTTTGCCTCTTTATAATATTAAGTATAGATAGAAGTATAGATTAAGTGCTCCAGCGCACTTTGTACTGGTTCAATTAGTTTAATAATGTCAGTCCTGGTTCCTTGTTGCATATTATTATCTCAGAACAGCTGGTATGAGAAATAAAATTGACGTTTTTAGTAGTTGGTACATAATTTTTTCATTTTTTTATAAGTTGCCCCACATTAGGATTTTCTTCTGTATCGTGGGTGCTATTACAAAGATACACATCACACACGGAACAACAATTTGTGGATCACACAAAGTGTTGTTCCGTGCTCTAATCGAAACCGCGACACGTTGCACAGCAGCCAGCCACTGGCGCCAACCGTACAGTTTTTTTTTTTGAGGGGAATATCATCAAATGACTTCTCCCGCCCAGGGCCGGGCAGGAGGGAGTGTCAGACTCTTACTGACTAAAAACCCCCCTGTTCCTTCTCCTGCTCTGTGCCGAGGTCGTGGTGCCTCATTGCGCTTACCCCGCAACCCCGGCTGAACATCAGCCCTTTAGGGCCCCATCTGTGGTGGTCTAATGGCTCTTTGAGGCGCGCGCGGAACGCTACGCGCCGTACGCTCGGGTCTGGTTCTGGTCGGGCGGCGAGCCGTCCTTACTCGCCGACCGCAGGCCCGTGCTTACGGTGGCCGGAGATCGTCCCTTGATCCCCGACGCCCACCGTACAGTAAACTATTAAAATTACCTACATGATATTTATTTTGTTTTCAGTGACCAAATAGACAGCAATGATCTTAGCAACGAAACAGACTTATTCGCCTGTGACAAGAGTGATTCAATATCAAGTAGCACTGAAGCTGAGCGACCAACGGTTACTTGCGAGAAATACATCAATATAAACAATAATGAGGAGACTAAAATGAAGAAAGGTGGCGCTGTCTACAAGAGGCCCAGGAAACGGTGAGTAGTGATCGATTCATAGGCTTAAACAAAATAATATTGACCGAGAACTGTTTGTAAAAGGAATCTGTATGTGAAAATGATTTAAAAAGATTAAATGTTAGGGAAAATATTTAGTTTTAATTTCGCGACAAAAATCCAGGCTTGTTGCAGTATGCAATCCCACTCCTATGCAATCATGCATATTTAATGTCATGGATTTCCGCAAAGTAACGCCTGATTCTATAAAAAAATAATTTAAAGAGTAACCATGGAGTTTCTTGCTCGTTCTTCTCCATCGGAATCTATACTTTGGAACGAGCAAATAGCTTCACTATGAGGAGTGACCGACAGACTGACACTATATCACCAAAATTTTGTTTGACGTTCAAAAGTGCCTGTAAGGGTCTAATTGGAATGATTTTTGACTTTTTTTTTGAACGGAAGGGAACTAGTGACATTTCAATTTTCACATCAACTGGACCTAATTATGCAAAAAGGATCCGACCTACAGTGGTTGAAAATGAGCTGATTATGCCAAATTAATCTTTATTACGTCTGAAGGTATTTTCTATTAGTAAAAACACCCTATTCAAATTATGTCAACACGCACACATTCAAAACGGAGTAGTAAAAAAAGGTTTCGTTACGTAATGGCGGGAAAAAATATTCAGATTAACAATGCGCGCGCACCGGCCATAGACTAAAAAATGAGGTTTCTTCTCCTTAAGTTCTTGTTGCATTTCCCGGATAGCATTTTATCGCAAGTGTATACGTAACTCAACCAATAATATAAAAAAATCACAGACAAACGGTGCAAGAAAATATCGTCAAGAAAGCTGGACTTATAATTTCTTATTATAAGTTTGAAATCGTCAATCTGCCTTAAGCGACCATGGTGATTAAATGCACAAACCTTCTCTGTGTGAGAAGAGGCCTTTGTTCAGCAGTGGGCACTTACAGGCTGATGATGATGATGATAATGATGATGACAGTAAAGGCATCTGTGCCTACAAGATAAACCAATCAGCTCATTAATTTCTTTTTCTTCTCCTTCAGATTCCGTAAAAGAGTGAAGAAGCGCCAGTCCAAATCAGCCCGGAGTGATTCGGAGTGCTCGAGTGATGAAGCGGTCCCTCTCAGCAGGATCGTTGAGGTGGACAGCAAGTGTGTCAACTCTGAGTCTCCGGACAACGTCATGGGAGTTCCCAATATTGTTATATTGACTAGGGGTAAGTTGGGGCGAAGGAGGGGGAGGGATAAGAAGAACTGTCTAGGAATTGATATAGTATATCTCCAAAATATTAAGAGCGTTTCAGATGTCCTCAAATAAAAAAAATATTTTGTGACATGACACAGGAGAAAATCCTAGGGAGCTCTGACAGCTTCCTTACTTTTGGACTCGCTCTTTACGAGTCAATACAGGTATCTCCTGAAGCCGGGGTTGCGGGGTAAGCGCAATGAGGCACCGCGGCCTCGGCCTAAAGCAGGAGAAGGAACAGGGGATTTTTTAGTCAGTAAGAGTCTGACACTCCCTCCGCCCTACCCTGGACGGGAGAAATCATCTGATGATTTTCCGCTCACAAAAAAAGACCTGAAAGTCATCAATTCAAAGAAAATGATGAAAAAATCATGATTTACCTATTTTTTACATTAAAAAAAAATCTTTTACAGACTTAAAACCAAAAATCCATCAAGAAAAAAAGTCTCCCAAACCTATACCCCCGCAAATAAAGAACGAAGACACATCCCCACCCCAGAAGACAGAATTAAGTCCTGCCCCTCAGCGGCAGACGACAGAAGTAAGCCCCGCCCCCTTGCAGAAGGTGACAGATGCAAGCCCCGCCCTTTTACGGCAGAAAGAAGAGAAGGGAGCGAGCGAGTGGAAGAATTGCACAATGTGCAGCCTCTCTTTCAGAGGAGAAAGAGGATTGAGGTAAGATGAAAGAAAAGTTATTATTATAGAAGTTAGTTATTAATAATTGCACTTATGACCGAAATCAAAAGCCGACCTCATCATCCGCTGCTCGGCTCCTACAGATCATAGCCTGATGTTATGTAGCCTAAAAGCCTTCCACGATAAATAATCTATTCAGGAAAAAATAATGTTTTAATTCAAACCAGTAGTTTCTGAAAATAGCGCGTTCATACAAACAAACTCTTCGGCTTTATAATATTAGTATAGATTTTATTTATAAACTAGCTACTCTCGCGCGGTTACACCCGCTGCTGAGCTCCATTTCATCGTAGCGTGATGTTTTATAGCCTATAGCTCTCAGAAACATTGTAGCTATCTATCAGTCAAAGAATTTTGGCAACCCGACCAGGCAGCGGTTCCAAGGATTACCCCCCACATACAAACTTACAAATTTTACCTCTTTATAATATTAGTATAGATAAAAATATGCACAATTTTTGTTTCAGACGCCACATGACAATGTCTCACATATTAAATGATGAAGAAAATAAAAAGTCCAGTAAACCTGAACAACGACATTCGACCATTACAAGTGGGTAATAATAATTATTATTATAAATAATCAACAGCCGCCATCTTATCTACAGAGACGACCAAAATGAATGAAGCTATGAAAAACCAATTTATTATGATCTCTGCTTTCTACGAAGTCCATACATTGAATGGTAAATTTATACTGGTTTTCATAGCTCATGCTTTAACTGGGTTAATTTTTCAATGGTTAGATAAAAGTTACCTGGGGTATAATTATGATGCTGTCTCGTCAAAATGTTTGTATAAAACAGTGACAGCAACAATTTTATTCCTCAGATAACATTTATCTGACTATTGAAAAATCTGCCCTAAGTAAATTTTTTATTTGTCTCGCGAAAAGTTCTATTTTCGAAACGGTTTTGTCTCTGTCAACATTTTTTTTCTATTAATAATAATTATAACTATTCTACAAAAAGAAAGAAAAGTTTTTTAAAAACAAATAGTTTTTTGAATGCTAGTTTGGGAGGTTTTTAGTGAAGTTTTTATTCTTATTATTAATTGTTAGGTATGAAAAAAAGAAAATTAAAAATATAATTGTTGTTGTAAGCTAGGAAAGGATTTGGAATTGGGGTAGAGTGCAATATAATAAAGTTTTAACTTTAATTTTGAAAATTTATTGAGAAAATTCAACTTTCTTGGGTCTTCCGCCCTTCGCACGCTTGTTGATAAAAAGTATCATATGTATCCCGGGTTTTTAAAATACGCAAATCAAGTATAATTTAATATAAATTCAGCATATAGCACTTAGGAACATTGTAGCTGTCTATCAGTGAAAGAATTTTGGCAATCCGGCCAGCGGTTCCAAAGATAACCTCTTTATAATATTAGTATAGATTTGTTTTGAAAATTAATGTTTATGTTTTCTCAATAAATTTTCAATTTGAAGTATATCTTTCGTAAAAAGTATGAGTGCCAATGTTGATATAATGAGTAATAAAAAAATAAAAAAAAATGCTTTTTAAAAGCAGAAAAAAGCTCTCTAGTATTTTTTAGGTTTTTTTTCCAACCATATTGGCTTAAAAAGTAAAATGTTTATTGATTAATTTTTTTAAAGTGTAAACCTTTTTGGATAAAAATACTATAATACGTATTACACTTATTTATTGAAAAAAAAAACTGTGTACATTGTTTACTGAAAAAATTATGTTAAGCCAACCATTGACACAAAAAGTGCTCTGTACCGTAAAGAAAAAAAATATAACAAACTCGCGATCAGTTTATTATAAGTAGTTATAAAAATAAAACTTTTGAGTATAGAAAAATAGTTTCTTTGGGAAAGTTGTGTGTTATCATGAGTACAATCGCGTGTTTAAATATAGGTCACTAATTACCAGTCACCATACATGGAAATGGCCTTATAATTTATATATATGATATATAAATATTATTTTGAAGTAGTTATCTCAACATTGGCACTTTACTCCAGGGTTTGAAGACTGTGATCGTTGGCGAAATGTGATGTAGATTAGAGAAGGTTTTTGGATTTGGCATAGATTTATTTTTAACTAGCTTTTCCCCTCGACTCCGTTCGCGTGGAATAGTGGCTTCCTGCAGATTTTTGGCATAAAAACTATCCTATGTCCTTTCTCGAGCTCCAAACTATGTCTGTACCAAATCTCACAGAAATCGGTCAGTAGTTTAGGCGTTAAGAAAAGACAGACAGAGTTACATTCGCATTTATAAAATTAGTTTGGATTAGCGACTCTCCCCGGCTTCGTGTGTGTGCAATGTTGTGATACTAAATTTCTCCACTATTTAATGGATGTTATTATACATATAAACCTTCCTCTTCAATCACTCTATTTGTTAAAAGAACTGCATCAAAATCCGTTGCGTAGTTTTAAAGATTTAAGGGTACATAGGGATATAGGGACAGAGAAAGCGACTTTGTTTTATACCCGCGTGGTAATATCAGTCTATTGACGCTAATAAGTTTAATACTTTGATAAAATATAACAAACTCTTTTGATAAAAAACATACTCTCTATCACAATAAGAATCAAAGTTCTTTGAAATTCAAAAAATGTAAATATGCTTTTGTTTTTTTTTTTAATAAAACTCTCTCTATCAGTTCGTTGCTTAGTAATTGAAAAGTACATATAAATTATGTATTTTTAATTTAATTTAATCAAATCAAATTCTTTATTTCAAGTAGACCATAACAAGCGCTTTTGAAAGTCAAGCAAAAAAGGAAAAAAGTATTTCAAGAGCTTTAAAATTAAGCATGTCAGTCTGTCGGTCTCTCCTCTAGTGAAGCTATTCGCTCGTTTCAAAGTGTAGATTCCTATGGAGAGGAACGAGCAAGAAACTCCATGGTTACTCTTTTTCAATCACTTTTTGCAATGCATTGTTACATAATTTAGATAGTTCCATTATGCGAGAACAGTGTAACACTAGTGTAACCAAAGGATCCGAAAAAGAAATGAACCTTTAGGACAGCAACTTTAGACAGTCTCGAGTTGATTTAGCGCTATGTTATAAATGTTATCTGAGGAATAAAATTGTTGCTGGCACTGTCTTAAACAAACATTCTGATGCGACAGCATCATAATTATTCCCCAGGTAACTTTTATCTAACCATAGAAAAATCTGCTCTTAAGATTTTAAGTACTAGGTGATAGGTGTTTTGAAAGTTAATAAAAAATAAATCTATGCCAATGAATTTTTGAAATGAAAAAAAAAATGGTTCGGCGTTATATATACAAGTACAAAATTATATTTTAGGGCGAATTTGAATCGTGAACGAAATGAGATAAGAAAATTTGTCATTTTTCTAAAGAGCGACGAGGTTTTTACTTAAAGTAAGTGAAAAAAAAAATGTAATAAAATGAAAAAAAAAACAAAGTCTAGATTTTAGCCTCTTCTATATTTAATAGTTTTAAGAGATTTTTTGAAAACGAACCGTTTTTCCCGATCTGTCTAGCTGTGTTGCCAGTTAAGGTAATTAATGATAAGGGTGTTGCAATATGAAAAAAAAAAAGTTGTTTTTTTTTTCGTCGTGACCGCGGTGCTATTTTTATTTTTTAGTCGAGAATATATATGTATTAGTATGTTTGACTAGTCAGTTTGTAAAAACTCTGAATTGCCACGTCTTATTGTTCCTAGAGCTAATTTTTTTTCGGAAATGGTTGCTTTATATTGAGAAGTTATTTAGAATATGAAGTCTAACAAAAACTATTTAGGTTTTTTATAAAATTATGTATACATTTTTTATTTTTTACCTATATATCAAATAATGTTGTTTCCGCTACAGCCATTGGCTCAAGAAATTTGTACTATAGATCTCATAAGACATTAGTCTAAATAACTTCTACGGTATAAATCGTTAAAAAGTAAAATCTCGACTTTATTTTTTAGCTAGTAGAGTGCATTTTTTTTCTTATATTCTTATTGTAAATAATATTTGTATTTGGACTTTCTGTTGACTGTTTAAAACTTCTCTATTTTGGTGGTTTTTTTGCTACAAGTTTTTTGTTAATGATTTTGTCAGCTTAGTCTGCCCTGATACGGATGTAGCAAAACCATAGGGGCGTCATGCGTCAAGCGTCAAATAAACTACCCCGCGCTTCGGCCTGGAGCATGAGAAGTAAAGGGGAAGTTGTTATTCCGTAAGGGTCTGATACTTCGTCCCGACTCATCCTTTATTTTGATGATGAATGACTGAGCAATCTGCAGTTGAAATTAGTCCAGGTTTCCCACGATATTTTCCTTAACTACTGGGAAACTACCACAACTACTCATATGTTGGCATCTGCCATATTCTTTCACCTCCTTATGTGAAGGATAGAAAGTCATTTGATGATTTTCTACGGCAAAAAATGTCCCTTATACATGGGGCTCATCACATGAATAGTGAAAAGTGTACTACTTAATGTAAGCCCCATTTTTGAAGGGACAAAATCATCCAATGACTTGGGGAACTGACAGACTCTTACTGACTGAAGAACGTTCCGTTCCTTCTCATGCCCTAAGCTGGGTTGCGGTATATCATTGCGTTTCTACCGTGGAGTAGAATTTATAAAAGAGTTTTCTTTTGAAACAGCAAAATATATTTTACCTACCTAAGTCATACAAAAAGGCTTGTAGCAAAATCCGCCATTAAAAAAAATGTTAAATATAAAATAAAATATTTGATTCAAATGATCTCCATTATGTGTCATCGGATCTTGTTGGTGCAATCTTAAGTGTTGCCATACCTATTGTTTAAAAAGATACTATTTTTTTGATTTTTTCCCCATTTTTTTTGCTTGAAAAGTTGGTCTTGTATTAATTTACATTGGAAAATGATTTCATTGGAAATTTGTTATTAAGTTATCGATTAACAACGTATTAATTTGTTGATTATCGCGATCTTGGTATTGCGTTTGGTAAAAAACCGCGTTTCGTTTTAAGAAATTGTTCCTTTTAATTTGTTTCTTTTAAGTTTAGTTTCTCTATGTATAATATTGTTATATTTAAACGCTGTTTTGGATGTAAAAATAGCGTATTTCTTCATTACCGTCTCAGACGTTTTTACATAACGGGATTGTGTTTGGTCTTGTATTTTTTTCCGTCAAATAGCATAGGTACTTATTTGTTGAAAATACGATAGAAAAATAAGAATAATAAATATGTCGTTAAAATAATCGTATGCTTAATAGAAAAGAGTCATAACTTAAAAAAGTAGGTATTTCAATCTTCAAAATTTTGTTTCAAATAATAGAGTTCAATTTTGAATTTCTCCATTTTTTGAGTTAGTGGTTTTCTATTAAACATGCATATGTGAAAGTATGGTTGTTTTAATATGTTGTTGCATTGAAAAATCATATAACACATAAAACTTATTATGTCTTTAATAAATAACCAGTTAGAAGCGAGAAAGCTCACGATCCGCCTTATTGAAAATTGTGTATTAGTTCCTAGGTCAAAAATAAATTACTTTGACTTTTTAATACAATGAAGTATTAAAATATAATTATACTTTTATTCATTGATTTGACGATATACTTATTTTTCTATTTTTTCAATTAATTTTTAAATAAAAGTGTGCTTTTTGACGTTAAAAAGTTATGCCCTTATAATATGTTGTGATTTCATACAAAAGTTTCGTTTTTGGACATTTGGATAAAAGTATTGAATTTGACTAGTAGGAAACTACAGAATTTTTTGTTAACGCTATTTTTTAC